CCCTTTCTCGATGAGCCTTCTAGAGGGTCTTTCGTCACTCTGATAAGCAGGTTGGTGAGTATCAGCGAGAGGCACGGATGTCTGAAGCGGATGTTTCTTGTGAAGTGAGTCACAGAGCGGCTGGATTCCAGCCAGGAGAGCCCTGCAGAGCCAGGCGCACCTACGGCCCCTCCCTGCGCTAAGGTGTCCCAGAGGAGCAGGGACACGACACAGAGCCTTCCACCGCGGCACCTTCCTCCTGTGCTGGTCTCTGCTGCTCTGCAGAGTGCTGAATGCCCACGATGCTCTCCCTTCCCTCCCTGCACGCTTGCTAGCAGTGGCACAGCGCGTTTAATCGCCCTGGTACCAGCGCACGGGGAAGTTCGCGCTGGGGAAGACGCGCTTGGATGAGGATGACGCCGCAGGGACGTGGCAGGGCATCAACAGCCCCCGGGGTGCCGGGGACGAGGGCTGTGGACTGGAACCTGTGACATGCCGAGAAAAGGTGTGTCCGATCCACTGCCCAGCTCCTCTGCCAAGACACACCTGCGTGGAGCTGGTGTGCAGCGGCGGGCAGCGCGTATTCCCTGGCGGCTCTCGGAAAGCAGAGCGGTCACACGCGGTTTCACTGATAGGGATCGCAGCACGCCCAGGCAGGGAGCCCTGCCCCGCCGCTAAACTGCAGCGGGACTCCTCGCTCTCCATCTAAAGGCACTTAGTCAGGGCCTCGTTTTCCCCAGCTCTAAAATGGGGTTAGTAATACATCATCGAGATTATGTGTTTCTCAGGTGTGGGATTTCATAGGCAGCCATAAAACGAAATTTATTGTACTGAGGAGAACATGGTGCTTTGAGAACCTGAAAAGACTGTAATGAAATGTTTGTTTTAGCATTTATTGCTTTGTAGTGACTAAAAAAGCTGTTTTAAAGCAGGGTGTGCAAGGATCATACCTGTGTATATCATATACAGACACACACACATGTACAAACACGGTTTTTACTTACCAATCCTTTAACCTCTCATCTACCAGAACATGCCTTTGCTTTCCTATTTTCCTTTAATCTTATATATTGCCTGCTTGAAAAATCATAGGCTGCTCAGAAGTCTTACTATTTTCCTTGGGGTTACTGAGCCAAAGCCAAACTAAATCCCAAGGTTTTGTGACTGTATGAGCATGGTTGAAGGGGTACATTACACACTACTCTGTAATTTATTTATGTACACATCTCACATCCAAGGAGCTGAACATACTTGAGGCCATGGATGGTGATGTGTGAAGCAGGAAAATGGGGGCGGTACAACCAGGAGGGAGGAGTGGGAAAGGTTGGTAGACAAGGCTATGGAGCAGAAGAGCTCTTGGGGAAACCCCTTCCAAAGCTCTCCATCACCTCTGACTCCTGAGCCCTTCCTGCTGGACAAGCCCCTGGCCCTGAACACCAGTCACCTCATGGGCTGCTTGCTATTTGCAGAGAGGTCTGTATTTCATGCATGAACGCACAGCATCACCACTTCCTTCTTGCTCCAGGCCCTCTGCTACACCATGTATTAGACACAGGGGAAGTAAAGGCAGAACACCACACTTCTATGCTCATGGGACTGCAACCTCAGTGGGATGTTGCTGCAAAAATGGTTTTGTCAGTAGACTGGTGACAAACCACCTCCCAAGACTGGTGGTAGTTCCTCTATCTCTAACATAAATAGCTTGGCTTTAACAGAGAGCACAGACCCCCTTGTGTTAATGAGTAATAAAAGCAATCGACCCGTGGTGCATTTATCCCTGAGCTGGGGCTGAGTGTAGTCAAGGTGATAAAACTCTTACATTAGCAAAGTTTTACTGCATCAATACCACACTGAGTAAGAGCCTGACAAGGCCAAGCTCTGACAATCAAATATTAGAATACCCAAATGTTTTGTTAGTGTCAAAGCACAGTTAGCATATGCAGTACAGCCTACAAATTCACTGGAAAGATACCCTGCGTCATGTCAGCCAGGTTTTGGGCTATACAAAGGCATCTTGGGAGTTTATTTTGGGAAAGCTGTTTTCTGGAGCTGAGGGGACATCTGTCATGCAAGTTAGGAAAGCAGACCATGATGAGGAACTGCTACAGACTTTACTTCAAGAAGATGTGACTTGTTCTAAATAAAGAGTATTAAACATGTACCTTGCCATTTTCTACCAAATAATGGGTATTGCATTCTTTCTAGTAGCAACAGCAGATTCGATGGGTGTGTTTGAAGACACAGACCTAAAGAAGGACCAGATATGGGATTGGTCTCTCCACCAGGTGAAAAGCCACGAACCATCTTCATTGTGTTGCACACTTTGGAGCAGCCTTACACCAGGGAAAACTGGAGGATCCTGACCTGCTCTGCTGTCCAGGCCAGGATGCTCCAGAGCCCCAAGCTAGATGCAAATGGCTGGAACCACTTCCTGCCCCCAGTGACTCATGGCCAGGGAAGCACTGGAATCCTGCTCTAGGAAGGGTCACTCACCTGCCCTGCCCTGCAGGGAAGGTGAACACTGGGAGGTGGAAGGAGCTGGGACAGCAACACATTGCTGGGCATGCAGAAAATAGACAAGACATCACCAGGATTACAATAACAGCTGTGGAGAGGTGGAGTGAAGCACAGGCAGCACTGGTGCCTCACATGCTGCCTCCACTCCTTAGTGGAGTTTGCCTCTTGCTCTGACATCCGTGGACATTTCATGGGCTGGGCTGGAAGAACAAAGTACGATGTGTCCAGCACAAAAGCTTAGAAACACCTCTCTGGCTATTATCACAGGAGATTTTCACTTTCTACCTCTGTCATGCTTGTATTGAGACACTTTCACCATGCACCAAATAAGAGAAAATGTCCCCTTTCTTTCCATTGGGCTTATCCTCTCTGAAAGTGGCTTGCTTTTGGACAGACAGGATAGAAAGAGAAGGCAATGCCTATAATACATTTCATATGGCTATAACACATTTCCTAGTTAATCCAGGCTCTGTTGCTGTTAACCTCTAGTCTTGACACTGCTAAGGACTTTATGCTGATTGTGGGAAGGCTGTCTCAGATTTTTCAGGCTTTTTCTAGATAACCACACTGCTTTTTCTGTTTTCTTGCCAGTAATAACAACTAACTAGGATGCTTTTCAAAAATGGGTGCAGATAGAGGTTAATGAACTCAGAACAAGGCAAGTATAGGAAGATGATGTGTCTTTTTGTACCTGTCTCAGACAAGTGCAATCTATATACATGTATGTGCTAATGAAAGCCATGATCCTTTATGGGACCTGTGTGGCCACTGCCATGTCCCCATGGATCGGAACTGTTGAAGACATAAAGCTACCCTTGTCACAGACAGCCATGAAGTGAAGATCATGAAGGTTTCTTTGACTTATCCAGATATTTGGATACCAAAAAACTCAGCAGAAAGCATCATATCCACATAACCACATCAAGACCTGCATCTGGGAAAGATGGAAGAATAGAAGTTCCTCACTTGTCAGCTTCTACAAATGGAATTAGGAAACAGAAAGCAGAAAGCTGTAGCAGTAGAGCCTCCTGCATGCCCTAGCTTTATGACCTGGGACTTTTGTTCTCCCCTTAAGCCTCCCAAAGCGTGTGCTGAGGACCTGTTCCACAGGGTGATCTCTGAGGACCGGAGTGAGGTGAGCCTGGCATCGAGGGTAAAAGCTGTGATATCTGTCAGCAAAACCGCCTCACGAGGTTGTGATTGGAATGATACGGGCTATTTATTGTAAGAATAAACTTCTCATGGCTGCGGCATTTGAAGGGGAATCCCGCAGAAGCAGCACAGCTGAGCAGTGCTGTAAAGGTGCCGCTTGGCTCCATCTGGAGGTGACAGCTCAGAGACACACACCGCCAGCTCGGGCAAGCAGCTGGAAGCGAAGCTGAGCGCAGAGCAAGTCCGCCCCTCTGCCCCGTGTTGGATATTTGCCCATTCAAGGCAGGTCTTCAGCCTGTTACTGCTTCTCTTTATATCCAAAAACAATGATCATTGAGGATGCGGTGGTTTCTGTGCTTTGTACCTTTGCGGTGGGAGGAATTTCTTGTCACTCCCCTTTGGTTTTCCTGAAAGGTGCTCTGGAGCCCTGATGGCTTTCTCAGCACTTCATGGGAGGGGACATTGAGCAGCTTCTTACAGAGGCCCCAGCCTTCTGCCCCGGCAGCCTGTGTGACCCCTGCTCACCTGCAGAGTCCGGCAGGAAAACAGAAGTTTGCAATCAGAGTAAGCAAGCAGGGAAATTCCAACCAGACTGGCACTAGTCTGGAAACTTCAAGATTTCCACATGGGAGTTGTACCCATGCCATGAACAAATTGGGGCCTAGGGTATGAGAGGTATCGAGGTTTGACTTAAATTCAGAATATCTGGGATGGGGGTGGATGTTGGCTCTGAAGGCCCATGACTACTGCCTTTCCCTTTTCCTCCCTGGTGACATTTCTGCATAGAACTAGACCATCACTGCACCAGAGACCAACAGGGTAACAACCAAGGGGCCTGGGATCTACACCAAGACACTTAACAATTGCTCCCTGCTAAGGCATAAACCATTGAACAGGGAACAAATGTGTGTGTGTGCACATGAGAGCTCCTCTCTGTGTCCCTCAGCAAAGCTCAAGACTTCTGCCCTGGAGAACAAGTTTTGATTCTTTTTTCTAATCCCTATTTTGACAAAACCTGCCATGACACCTGTGTCCCCTGCCAGTGCAGGGCTGCAGCTCCCTGCGTGTCACTTGTGCACAGCCCCATTTCTCTTCAGTCAGGCATGACAGGAGCTGTAGCGGTGCAGGGCGGATTGGCTGCAGCGGCTCCCATGGGTGCTCTCTCCCTCCTCCTGACCCCTGGCAGGTCAGCACTGCCCTGCAGCCATCACTGCCAGATGGCATCTGCACCAGAGAGGAGGTCCTGCTCCTCGTGGTCACTGCTGGGCATCTGGGATACTGGCACTCTGTCTCTGCCCTGGCTTCAGGAGCAAGGCTGGGTGCTGTTGTTCGCACTCCCCTGGATGTGCTGAGTACCTGCTGGCATGAAGTTTTTCCTCCAATACATGGGCTTCTTTTTTGCCTTTTTCTCTGCTTTGTTTTTGATAATATCTACCTGGACAGACTGCTGGATGGTGAATGCTGATGACTCCCTGGAGGTAAGACAGGGGTGAGGAGAGCCTGATCACCAAAACCAATGTGTCCTAGAGAGAGTTTGCTCCCGCTGCCATTGCTCCATTCCACTTTCATGTTCTTTCTCCCTGTTGTGCTGGGTGAGAATGAAAATAATTACTGTGTCAAGAGCAAGATAAAAGTGATATTTTGTGAAATTCTCTTTGCCAGACCTTTTAATCCAGAATTTACTCTTACTTAATAAGTTCAGAAAAGCTCTACAGGCTCTAGTTTTAAATGTGCATGAACTTGAGAAGAGTTATCCTGTACCCCCAACATGTATGGATATTTTGAAGATGTTTTTAGTTCTATGGTTCAGACTTTTGGCGGAGACATCCAGTATGTACAGCTGTGCTCTTCAAGTCTTTTTCTGACCAGCCATTGAGCTACAGGGCTACCAGAAATTTAAGGGGAGCATGCAGACTCAATATCTCCTGGAACTCATGTGGACAGTAGCCCTCTCATATTAGATAAAGGTATTGGCAAAAGGTAACTGCAATCAAGGGAGCAGATTGCTGCTTACAGGCAAGATGTACCCCAAAGCCTCCAGGCCCAAAATAATCACTGTTTCTAAAGCACTTAATACTGTGAATTTGCAATTTTCTTCCCAGCACAGCCTTTCATTTCTGTACATTTAAGCTGCAGGTCCACAGTGTAGGAATCTGCTCTCTGGCAAGTTGGATTGTTTAGGCAGTGAAGGTGAAACACCTTCCAGGACAGAAAGTTTGACTGAATGTATCAGGAGCAAACTTTCCATCTGCTATCCAGCATATGAAACCATGAGCTCCTCTGCCCTCAGTGATTGCAATGCAGCATTTCTTTGCAGCATATGAAGGGGCGAATTATCCAAGGGAAGAAGGATAAAATTACAAGAAAAACTTTTTTTCTCTATGCCACAAGATATCCTGACAACCTGACTGTCAGAAACGCTGAAAGGTGGATATAAGTGCCAAGATGATGATCCAGTGCAGTGCAGTTCCTGGTGGTCAGCATGTCTGCTCAGTGAGCCTCTTTTCAGGACAAAAAGAATGCACCCAGTGATGCTGGATGGGATGTGACACTCCATTTGGGAGATATTTTAGATTCCTTTCAGGAAGTAGTCGGATGAAGGTATCAGTATACTCAGAAGAGCCAAGGGACTCCAATTGTGGAAAAAAACAGATGAGAGAAGCCCAGCTCCTGAGCAAAGTGAGTCTAATAAAGAGCTGGTCCATTACCCTGAGGCTATGTAACCTTGTCTTCCTGCGATGGGCTGTCCGAAGTGCTCCATTAACACCCAGTTTGGTCGTTAGCAACCACTATTCTCACATTCCGGCTCTGAGTGTGAATACTAAATAATGGAGCAAAACGCCCCCAGCCTTAATACCTGACCACTGATCTTAATGACCCTAATGACTCACTGCCTCTCTAAACAGTGCAATGTCCACGGCCAGAAAGGCTAGAGTCTGCGGTGACTCCTGTTTTCAGCTGGAAAAAGAGTAAGTTAGGCAACTTTGACTCCAGGAGAAGGAAATCCATCCTTCAGCAGCTGCTGGATCTGGGCTGGTTGCTTGGCTTTGACCCTGGCCCCAGCAGCTGGGGAGGATGAAGCCCTCACTGTGGTCCCACTGGAGAGGAGCATCCCAGGAAGAAGAGGCAGAGGAGTGCCAGGAGCAGCCACCTGCAGAGAGGCTGCAGGAGCCCTGACTCAACTTTCACAGCCCCTCACCTCCCTTGAGAAACAACAGGTTACAGAAAGTTGTTTAAGTTAGTGACTCCCTGTGAAGCATCAAGAAAGGGCTGGGTCAATTTTTGTGGTAGTTTGTAGTGGAAAAAGCCCATAATCTGCTTCTCAACGAGTGTTGTATTGTGTAGACAGTCCCTCCCTGTTGCAGATGGATTATAAACACCACCACTACTGGTAAATGCTGCCTGTTTTACTCTCAAGCTGGGCTTGTAATCATTGTCTGCTGGCACCTTCTCAGAGTGCGGTAAACTGTGACTAACATCACTTAGGTGTTTGTCTTCTCCGCTTTCCCCAGAAGGAGAAGCGTGTGCTTGTTCTGTCATTTTCCTTTTTTTCTCTATGAGAATAATTTTAATATTAATTATACATTATGAATAGGGTATCATTATATGTATTACAGTCATTATGCAGTTCATGTTTTACATGCATGCTTGTGTTAGGGAAAGCAGGTCACAGCAATGTGTTTTGTAATGGGAGTAGGGGATGAGGGGCATGGCTGTGGTGTTTGGCTGCTCAGGGAGTCCTCAGCTGGGCCCTGGGAAGCTGGACCAGATCTGCTATGGGTACAGAGAGGTGATGGGGAGTTAGTGCTACCAACATGGTGCAGGAGTCCAGCCGTGGGATGGGGAAATCCATGTCCCCACATGATGCCCATGCCCTGGCCCATGTCCCCTTTCCAGCAGTGAGTTCCTGTGTGCCTGAGGGTCTGAGCTGTCAGCACAGGGGAAGATGCTCAAGGGTGGCTTGGGAGAAGATTAACAACCACACGGTTCAACAGTGCACAAAGCAGAGGAGAGCAAGTGTTGGACCCTGGCAGCAGAAAGCAGAATAGCTCAGCAGCAGCACAGGGCAGCCAGATGTCCCACAGTGACACTTGTTCTTATCCCTCCTGCACCAGGTAATAGGACAGTTATCCCTGGCTGCACACTGGCTCTGTGGAGATGAGCTGGCTCCTGCTTTGCCTGTGCTGGCTGTAGCAGGAGTAGTGACAACTGAAAAACACTAAACAAGTTTTTGTTAGTGTGGGAAGGGGTTATTTCACAAGCTAGACCATAACTGTTGTGCTTAAGACCTCTGTTTTGCTTGGAGGGTGACAAAGCCTGGAATCCTGTTAGTCTCCTTATAAATAATTTAGATGTAGATGCTGCCTGTAAGATTTAAAAAACAGTAATAATATCAGCAAGTGAGGAAGTAAGTGACATTATTAGCTGAATGCAGAGTAGTATAAATAAGCCTGTGGTGGTTTGGGAGGAAAGAAAAATTATATAAACACAAGTGTAACAAAATGTAATTTAATAAAAATATGCTAATTTCAAGCACAGCCTGAACAGTGGTGAGTTAAGACAGAAGGGGACCTGCAACTGCATTAAGAGGGCCACGGTGCAAATACATTAAATGTAAACACAGCAAATTATTTTACTAGACTCTGTTTTCATGAAAAGCACAGAATCAATGAAATTATTTTTTTCCATCACTGCTTCTCATTTTTCATCATATTTTTCATTAAATATGCCATGAAATTCTCAGAAATGTTAAGCACTTCTCATTTTCATGAAACAAAACATGCAGATTATATTCAATCAAATATAAATAATATCTCTTCTGCCAGTCTGAAGTAGTGAGTCAATTTCCTCACCTTTGAGGCAGTATCACAGAGGAGGTGCACAACTTGGCTCAGACATTGTGTGGTGGACAAAATATTACAGTTGGCTACAGACCTCAGTACATCCTGAATAAGACTTTATTATGTGTCCGAGATGTGTTATTATCTGCTTTGTGATTTAAACAGTGCAAGAAAAATGAATTTATTGCATCATCCAAGCAAGCCTGGTCCCCTTCCCCTGTGTGAAACTCATCTGCTGTAAGAGTTTCTCTTTCCATTAACTGCAGCGGGTGTTGCTGGCAGAAGTGGGAGGGCTGGAGTCCAAAGCTGCACCTACATTAACCCTGCTCCTCGTATGAGCAATTCCAGGAATATTTTAAAGGTGCTTGTTGCCATATTTGCATTGGTAATGGAAACGCCTCCCATATTAAAGTGATTTATGGAAGGCTGGGCTGGGAATGGTATCTACGGCTGGAGGACAGCGGAGACGATGAACCACGCTGCTGCTGCCTGGGTGCCCCGGTCTGGATGTCTCAGTGATGAGTGTGGCTTGGGCACGCGTGGTCCCACGGCTGGCAGCACTGGGAGCCCCAGGGAGCAGCACCGGCTGCCTCTGCTCTTCCAGCCAGTGTTTACAGCTGAGTCCTCTGGGACAGCCATCCCCAGCTGTCTGCAGAGGGGCTCACATCCAGACTCCTCTGCACTCCCCTCCCATTCTCTGAGCTGCTCCTCCTCTGTCAGGAGGATGGTGTAAGGAAGGGGAGCACAGACAGCAAAATCTAGGGTTGTCAGGTCCATGGCCCTGCCCAGCTCAGCCTAGACAGGAGTTTGGCAATGAGTGAGCAAACCTGCTCTTAGATCTTTCTGGTCAGCCACCCCCAGCTCTTCCCAGAAATTTCCTTTAAATTTTTTATCCTTACTAGTAGGCAAGGGTTTTTTTTCCTAATATCTAGCCTGAATTTTTTGCTGTAATGTAAAAACATTAGTAGGGACGTAGAAAACATTGTCCTTTTCCTCCATGCTTCTTCTTTTTCTCTTCAAGCTAAACACTCTGGTTTGCCATCATTGTAGCGGGACCAGGATTTCTTAAAGGACTAAGACCTGCTGCGTTGGTGGATACTTTAACCTATGGTCTTTTTCCTCTTTTCAATCCACAGGTGAGTACAAAATGCCGTGGCCTGTGGTGGGAATGTGTCACAAACGTTTTTGATGGGATCCAAACTTGTGATGAGTACGACTCCATCTACGCCGAGCATTCTGGTATGTAAGAGTCAGAGATGTTTCTACAGGTGGTGGGGACACTTGAGTGCAGACTAAGAGTATCTACTCAGTGACAGATAATTAGAGGCATGTTTCTTTTCTCAGTCAGGTATTACTCCTAAGGGAAGCTGAAAAAAGCTGAACATCTGAAAAAAATGTTCCTCTGGTATCTGATCCCATTACCTGCCCACATTTCCATTCCTTGTGCACTGGAATGATCTGCTTTTGTCCTGCAGTGAAACTGGTGCTGACCCGAGCCATGATGATAACAGCAGACCTCCTGTCAGGGTTTGGATTTCTCTTCCTGGTCCTGGGACTGGACTGTGTGAAATTCCTTCCCGATGAGCCACTCATCAAGCTGCGCATCTGCCTGGTGTCTGGGGTTATGTTGCTCCTTGCAGGTATTTCCCCACTGTGTCCCCATTCTGTAGCACACTCTTTAGCAAAGTGGGAAAGCTTTTAAAGCCTTTTATTTTGGCTGGTGATTTTCTGTAGGAGAAAAGCTCTTTATTTGATTTATTTGTGTAATGCAGCTTCTTCTGTTCACCACCTGCCTCAAACAGCGTGTAGTTGAGTTTATCTCAACTTTCAGTTCATGTTTTGACCAGGTGAATTGGCTTTGAGTTGACTAACTTCCATTGATTGCTGTGTCACCATGGAGCAGTTGAGGTTGTTGATACAGCAAAGAGACCTTGCTGTAGGTCTCTAGACCAATTGCTGAAAGACTAGAAAGTCCTGGCATCCTGGTTTGGTTCCTGGCTCTGCCACAGATTGTGTGACCTTGGGCAAGTCACTTAGCCCAAAATCTCTGCAGCTGATCTCTAATAAAAGAATAATAACATGTCTGTCCCTTCCAGGTGATAAATACCCAACTGGCTGAGGTGCTTTGCTGTTACAGCCAGTGGGAGGAATTTTAAACACGAAAATAAATAGCCAGCTAGGTACCAAATAATATGACTTTATGCCAGTATCAAGTAGCTACCTCTTCTTCAGTCTAAGCGGATTTAATAACTCACCACAGCCACTGAGAGCACATGTAAAATGTTGAGAGGCTCTTTTAAGCATCTTTCAATTCACTTATCAGTTTGTCTGAAAAGCATCATCAAAGTTCTGAAAATCACAACAGATCAGAAAATTGAATTCTGGAGACAACTTCACAAGCAGCTGAGAGGGGAGGAGCTTCCTGCCTTCAGCTACAGAAACCTGAGTGCTGCCAGTGTGCTGGAAGTGTGTGTGAGTGCCAAGCCACGAGGTGCAGCCTCTGCCTGGCAGCACAGGATATCAGCCAGGGAAAATCCACCAAAGACAGCATGGATGGGGGCAAAAACCTGCTGCCCTAGGAAGGTCTTCCCACCCTGGGGTCTGACCCAGCAGGCAGCAGCTGTAGGTGTATATCTGATCCCCTAGAGTTCAGAGTGTGGCACCTCTCTCCTGCCCTGCAGGTCTCCCTGGCATCACGGGCTCTGTGTGGTACGCCGTGGATGTCTATGTAGAGCGCTCCTCTCTGCTCTTCCACAACGTGTTCCTGGGCATCCAGTACAAGTTTGGTTGGTCCTGCTGGCTTGGCATGGCGGGGTCACTTGGCTGCTTCTTATCCGGGTCCCTGCTCACCTGCTGCACCTATCTCTTCAGAGGTGAGGAAGCACGGCTGAAGCACAGCCCAGGGATGGAGCCATTGCTCAGGGTGTGCTACAGGTGCACAGGCTGGGGAAAGTCCTCTGGCATGGCTGCTCATCTCCAGTGGCGGTATTTTCAGCTGTAAAATGGGAATAGTCTTAGGCAGCTCTAACGTCAAGGTTTTCATGTGGGAGCTGAGGTGTAAGGATGACATACAATGTGTTGTAACTGTGTCACATCTTGGAGTCCTGCTTTCCCTGAATAACGAAACTCTGCAGCTGAAAGACACCAAGCACTCATTAGCAGTTCTTATGTCTCTCCCTGTGCCCCACAGAGACCAGTTCTGGAAGATTCCATTCTGCCTACTCCTTGAGGAAAGGCTATTCCTCAGCTGCGACCATCATGACAAACGTGCATTTGCCATCCTCACAAACAGCCACCTCCAAAATGTATGCGGTGGACACAAGGGTGTGAGGAGGAGGTAAGTGCTCCAGAAATGCTCTGCTTTGATTTGTAATTGCACAGAGACTCAAGCTCTTGTGGTTGTGATACAGATGCAGTTGAATTTCAAGGATATCCTACGCTGTTTCCATTATGACAGCTTTGAAATACTTTTCCTTCAAGAAAGTAAATTCTGAGAAGATCCTGCTTTCTGGAATCCGCTTGAGTACTGAGACCACTTGCATAAGCACAGGCTGAAATAACCAACGCAAACTCTTTCCAGCATTTGTCTCAACACTACTGGTGGAAGTGAGATAAATCAGCCACTCCTGAATCAGACTGCAGTGTTCTGCATGAAGACCCCCAAACTGCAAGATTTGTTCCACGTCTGGCAATGTGTCAACACAGTGTACAAAGGAGAAAATCCTGACAAAGGGAGGGACTGACTGCCTGACCAACATCTGGACCCTGTTCACTCAGTAGGGGGGTCTGCCCCTCTTACAAGCAGCTGGGGAGCTTTTCAAGAGATAAGAGCTGTGTTAAATGTCTGACCCTCTCTTTTGTCCATGAATCTGCACTGACAAATGACTATAAATGCAGGTGTATTCTTCCCTGAAAAATACAGTCCTTCTCAGTTAGAGTTAAAAGGTACACTGAGCTACTAAACTCAGTGAAATCTGGAAATTACCAGCTTCATTCTGCTTAATAAAAACATTTCTTGAACAAAATGAGTGAAGATCCAAAATCTGAACTTGTGCATTACAATGTATCTACATTAACTGGAAGCTAGGATAAATGATACTAAAATCTATTGTCTCTTTCCATCAAAAGGTAATTAAACCTAATTCAGGACTGCTGTCCCCAGCTGCAATCCAGGCTGCCATAGGCTGGATGAGGTTGGGGCATCAGCCAGATCTTCACTAGAGTGGGGGAGGAAAGCCCCTGTATGGCTTAACATGTTCCCTAAGGATGGATGTGAACATTTTTTTCATGCCTTTAATAGAGAGAGAAACTGAGACAGTGTTTTCTTAGGGTTGGTAGGAGCTGTCCAAATTCAGTCTTTTCTGACCATGGGCACCACACCATATCATGGCCTCTGAAGGTTGAGAAAATTCTCCCAGCACAGAGATTTATCTCCTTAGGGGCAGTGGAGAAACAAAGCTGGAGTCTTAGCTGGGGGTGCACAGCTGTGGGTGCTGAAGCACTACCAGAAGTAGGCTTCTTCCATGGACTGCTTGATGGGCAGGCTGGATTTCCTTCTTCCAGACAGTATGCAGTGAAACTTTATTTTAAGTGGGCCACAGGGAGATGGGCTGGCTGAGGTTGGAGTGAGCTGTATCCCAAGCAGCACTTCTGATAACTCCTATGATGGAAATGAAGGGCTGAGTCCTCTGATGGGTTACCCTGGAAGCAGCACCTTGTGCTGCAGCACAGAACTGACCAGTAAGGCCAGAACATAACCCAGCCCTGACATGGCTCCGAGTCGAGAAGCACCCAGGGCATGGAACAGACAGGACAACAGCAGGTCCAAATGGATCTGCTGCAGGCCCAGGCACCTCCACAGGGCTCAGAGCACAGCACAGCCACCCCAGCAAGAGCCCTGGTGGCAGCTCAGGCAAGGGAGGCTCGTGCTGCAGTTTGTGCCTGCAGAGTTCATGCTGCTTGGGCTGGCAGACGTTTATGTCAGCCAAACTGAGAGCAGGTTACTGCCAACAGATGAGCTATATCAAACAGATGTAAACACAGTAGGAGGGGTGATGGAGGCTTTTTTACAAGGTCCTGAGAGACAACGAGTACAAGAGTTATGAGCGATGTGATGAATTCACAGATTGTACCAAGAATGCACAAAGAGATCTGGAGGTGACAGGAATTTTTGTCTGTTATTGCAGGAAACTGAACTCGGAGCTTGGAGGTTGTTTGTTTTGTTTTTTATACTTTTTTAAAGCCCCATCAGGAATGTGTTTTCTGTGGGTCTTTGGGGCAGGAGAGCTGACACTGATGCTCTCTGCCAGGGTAGGGAAACTTGGGAAAAATTTTTAATATGCTTCCTGGGCTGTGTCCCTGCTCCCCTACTCCTTCAGAGACACAGTGGGAAGGAGATGGAGGGTGAACACACCCCAGAGCTCTGCCCAGAGGCAGAGCTGTGTTCAGTGACTGCTCCACTGCCCACATCGCCACTCCTGCCCAGAGAGGCAAATGCTCCCTCAGCCTCCCCGAGGGAGGAGAGATGCTGCAGGCAGCCTTAGCCCGCCTCACCCAGCTCAGAGTTGCTCCTGGGGAGGAGGTACCCAGCAAAGACATCAACTCTGAGTCAAAAACTCCCCAGTCTATGCAGCCAGCACATTATCCCTCCCCACAAACTCTCAGGGATGCCTGCCAGCCTCTTGCTCCTGCTTTCCATAGCTTTTTCTGAGCACAAAGGTTATTTCTTGCTGTGAAGATTTATTTCTTGTTTAACAGAGAAGAAATGCAGGTGTAATTACAAATCTCAGATCACTGATTTCTCCTGCTCGGTGACTGAAGAAAATTTTGGGCCTTTGTCCTAAATGGTCTTCAGTTTGCTTTAAGGTGGTGGGAGCTGTTTAGTGACTTGCAATAAGTCGGTCACACCAAGCAGTGGCTCAGTGGGCATTGAATATCTATACACTGATGAGGGGTGAATATGAAGGATTAGTTTCTTTCTTCTCCAGCCCTGTGTTCCTTCTTGGGGTACACAAATAGAGCACAAATCCTGCCTTAACTCTTCCTCCTCAAATACACTTCACATCCAAAGAGTTTATGTACAAATATTCTTTGCATATCAAGATTATTGCATCAACACTCGTGAGCTTCTTTTCTTCAGTATCTGCATAGGATAAGAGTTAATTCCTTAATCATACTCATATTCTAGCCAAACTCTATGTTAGGTTTTGAGGTTCTGCACAAGAGGACCAGGAAAAGGTCACAGCAACTCTTAGTTGCTAGGTTAATGTTTTGTAACCAGTCCAGTACTGCATTGCTTCATTATTCAAATTCTGCTGACAGTCTAGCTGATGTTTTGATCAGCTGTTAATATTTAATTGTTAATTCCTGTTTGATTTAATACTGACACTGGTTTCATGACTGCAGGATTCACTCCTCATTAGCTCATTATCAGGTCACAATGCAGATCTATTCTAGTTTAATTATATATTAATTAGCCAGAAACCTTCCCAGAAAGTAAACAGGACATATTTTTTCCTTCAAAATCACAACCAGTCCCTAGGGCTAAAGATGTATCAGGTGAGCTCAGTTATTAAGGTATTTCCTTAATACTTACCTGCATTCCATTCAGTAGCAGCTCACTAGGAATGACAATAGACTGATTTTCCCCTCTTCATGGCTATTGTTGGCTTACCAAGGCTTTTTGCTCAGTCGAAATTTCCAGCTGAGCTGAGGCCGAACATTTAATCCATCACTTCCAACAGCTTTTTAGGTTTCTCCATATTTTCACTAGCTTACAAGGGGAATTTAATACATTTGGGCTTGTCTGTCTTCATTTCCCAGGGCATAGGGAGAGTCAGGGATTTAGCTGAGAGCTGGGAGCAGCACCTTTCCTGCCTGTGTGCCTGCCCCAGGGTGCTTCCTTGAACTGAGGCTCCCTGCTGGCCTCTCCCCGGACATCTCCTGCCCTCTGCCAGGGATCTGCCTGCTTGCAGGTTATGGAAAACAGTGAAGTGTTTAGGTAAGATCTGTGCTAAGTTGATTCCATGCCTTACAGATAAATATTGATCTCCCATTTTAATACAGGCAAGTGAGAGATATAAAAAAATGACACCTGCAATGGCTGTCCTTTTCTGCCTGCAGCATCTCGTCCTCTCCCTGCCTAGATCAGCCTTGCTGATGAGGGCTTTTAACATCTCCAGCTGTAATTAGTGCTCACTCTTACTGTGACCCTGTGAACTAGGCTGTCTCCTACTGCAGCTGCATCAATGTTTCCCAGGATATGGATTTCCTGCCTTTTCACAGACGTTGTCATGTGATTTTGGTGTGAATTCAGTGGATGTGAACAATTATTTCCAGTAGACAGAAGCAGCAGTGCAGAACTGTGCTTTTCTTACACGTTGTAACATCAGTGGGATATAATAAAGAGAATTGCCTTTGAGTGTCGTGTCTCTCTAACCCACATCCAGGTTCTGCTCAGAAGGTGCTTTGCCAAGTGACCTGCTTTGACTCCTGTGAAGGGAATCACTGCTGGCCTGCAAGGACACACAGAGGGCAGCAGCACAAATAGGACCAGCCCTTGGGCATGGGGGATTGATTTTGGAGGCTGCCTAGACCTTTGCTGGCAGCTACAAAGCTCAGACCCCAGTGTGCACCTGCAGCAATGCATCTTCAGCTGCTGAAGACTTTGTCTCAAATTAGACACATCTACTTAAAGTAATTTCCTAAACTTTCCAGGCGAGAAAAGTAAAATTCCAACACGAATGCAAGGTTTTCTCTCTCGGCTGGGGTTGGACTCCTACAGTTTGCTCTTCTGTATCTGTTAAATATTGTGGGTAAGTGATTAATGACTGAAATACTCTGTCCAACCGCTGTTAGGGCAGCGAGAACTATTTTCTCCCTGTAGCTGCTGGGTTCCTGCTGTGGAATGCCTTTGAGCAAGGAAGAAAAGAGCCAGAATTGTGCCATCTAGTGACCCAAAGAGAGCGGGCATCTGTCCCCAGCCCTGTCCTCACCCTGCACAGAAATCTTCAGCCCATAATGCAGAATTTTGGATGACAATTAAAAAAAAAATTAATGAGAATATAAATTATTTTTTCGTCTTTCATGTCCAACCCTCCTGACATTCCAAACTGATGCCCTGTTAAGGCTCAGCTACCTCTGGTTTTGCTCTATTTTGCCTGAAAGCCACTTTATGACTTACTTTATTGTTCAGCTCTTAATCTGCAGATGTGAAAGTCCAGCCGTGTGCCTCACCACATTCCCTTTGTCTTTTTCTTGGTCACCAAGAATTGGCTCCTCTGCACCACTCCCATTTTCCCCCTCAAGTCTTGCTGATGACAAGTTCCCCC